GTGGCTGGGAAGGGTAAAGTACCTTGCTAGTTACCACTGCCAGGCAGCTTGCCCTGGGTGTCTTAGGGACAGAGAGGCGGACTCCCTCCCATCCTGCAGAACAGTGATGAAGTCCTGACTGCCCAGTGGGCCTCCTCCGACACTCCTGCCTTTGTCGAGAGGAGAAGGTGCTTGGTTGTCACAGGGCAAAACCAGAAGTCTAGATTCCCCACAAGTTTTCAATGGTCTGGGGCAGGGGGATGAGGGTGTGACTGAATTTGCAAGTTCATTTTCTACTCAGTACTGTTTTCAAACAACCAAACTATTCCATGAACTTCAAGAAAATTTTACTGAATAGCCAATGAATGGAGACAGCGACCTGGCAGAAAGGGGCTGGGGTCTGAGTTTTGCTAGGACTATCCCTGAGTGGTGTGGTGTGCATGCTCTCACCAGACCTTTTCATGGGAAGATGAGATTCCAGGAGTCAGAGGGCCTGTCTTCTCTCCTGTCCTAATTTGGGCACAATCAGATCTGCCCTAGCTCTAGTAGGTGTGTTCTTTATCACTATAATGAGACTGTCATGAACTCCCGGTCCCTTGGAGTGTCAGTGTGGCCTCTAGACCAGATCAGACTGGCCTGCAGCCCCTCTTTAGCAATAGGGAACTTTCCAGTTGTCAGCTTCTCGGCACCAAGTTGAGTATACATGAGACCACAAAAACATAATAATAGTAAAGTAAAATATATACAGAGACTTCACTTCCCCACCTTTCCGTGAGCCCCAAAGTCCCTGACAAAGCTGCCTTCTCCCCACCTGTCAGTCTTTCTACATTTGTTACTGAATAATCTCCAGGGTTTTGAGTTGTGCTTAGTAGAAGGGAAAGACTATCCTTCCCACTATTCCAGCTTCTTGCAAAAAGTCAAAAATGCAATGTTTTAAACACTAAGCTTATGACATTTCAGATTATTACAATTGATTTTTTAAATACTTACCAAAAGTCTTTAGTTTCCTTTTATCTACTAGCTTCTAAATGAATTTCTGAAGTATACAATTATAATTTGATTTTTGGACATAAAAAACTTTTAATCTGATTTAGTTATGAAGAGAAAAATATCATTTACTTTTGGTCAGTAATAACATCAAGATGATATGTAATTCCCTACCAGGTGAATTAGTAGTGAACAAATCATATTAGCTGTATGAGGGTGAAAAGATGAATAAAAATAAAAAGATTTAGACTTCACTCTGCTTTGAATGCCAAGGACTAAAATGACTGGAATAATTTGTTTTTTCACAAGTGGATAATTATGTGCTCCCCTAATAGAATACCACATGTACCTTCCATTATTATTCTAGCCTTGTTAAAGAAGGAACGAAGTGAAAGTCATTTCATTTTAATTTCAGGAACTCAGACATAAACAACAGCGTGAGTCTTTATTCTCTGCTTTGTGCCCATTACTTCTCTTGAAGTAGACTGAACTCCTCTGAATGGGGCACTTTCTCCTGCCTGAATTGAACCCATGTCTTCCAGCCCTGTTCTAAATTCTGTTTGGAAGAGGGCCTATCTATTCCTGCTTTGCCTTCTCTACTCTCTCCTAAAGCCTTTCTGTCTCTTGGAGTCAATCCCAAAAGCATCCTGGGTTCAATCCCTAGTACCACAAAGAGAAAAAGAAAAAAGTGCCAACCTAACCCTTCTGCTGGAAATGGATGGCCACTCTTTGGGGAAAGTGATGCTCGATTTGGTCTTGAAGGATGAGTGAGGTTACTATAGGTGCAGGGCTGTGGGGCAAAGGGAAGAGGGGAAGTAGGGGTTAGCATCCCTTTCTGGCAGAAAGAGCAAATGAGAGGAGGAAAACCACCAGATACTTTCCAGGAAAGTACCAGCAACTAACAACTGCCCATCAGCTCTGGCTAAAAATGGTGGTAAATGACACAAGCAAAAAAGCTGAACATCACTTCAAGAATGATTTGTGCTCCATGAAAAAAATAGTACATTTTTGAAGGAAGTACTCTTTAAACATATAGTACAGAAAAATGGCCTAGATTTACAACTTGGTACATACCCAGAGCCCTCTGGTGATGACCCTAATCTGCCTTCATAGTTTTGATTCCCATTGTACTCATATAAAGGCCCCAAAATTTAATCAGACACAACTAGTGGATCCTCCCCATCTGATGATCTCACGCTGGGAAAGCAAGCCTGTTTACCTCTCATCTGCAAACTACACATAAGTTTCTCTCAGAGAGGGTTTTGGGGATTAATGTACTGATACATGAAAACACCCAGTTTCCTGTTTATCATTTAATGCACATACAATTTTCTTCCTGACAACTTACCTAAATCTTTACATTACAATTGCATGTGCATCGCTGCTACAACATGGCAGATCAAGACCAGGACTGTATGTAAAACAGTTGCTTTGACCAGGGACAATTTTCTCCTTTTAGAACATATATCTAGAGACATTCTAAATTGCATCAGCTGTTGACTCTCTTGATTGTAGGATGCTACTGGTTGTCATACTAAAACCCCAACAGCCTCCACAAAGAGCTATCCAACCCAATCAGCCAATGGTGCCAAAGTTTAGAAGGCCTGGTTGAGTTGACATTTGTAGTCTAGGCAATGAGCAGAGCTGTAAGGGATAGGAAGAATTCACAATTGTTAGAAATGACATGAAACCTCTCATCTACATTTAAATTTTACAAATTGCTATTGGGAATTTAAAATCAAGTTGGAAATTTTTATTGTGTGAGGAAATTGGATGATAGCGAAGTTTATGAACCTTGATTAGTTTGGGGAAAAACAAGTTTCCATTTGTATTTAGAGGTGACCAATTTAAAAGCTAAAGTTCTCTTAACCAGCAAGCTTTTGTAATGAAATGCAGTAGGATTTACTTTTATATCAAAGGAGCTCCCCTGGTAGTTAAGGAATGCAGCTGAATACAATTAAAAGATCATTGATAAGTAGAATGCACTTCCTTAGCTACTTTTAGGAGGAGTACACTTAATAATCTAGAATCTAGTGGCACTTTAATGAGGAATTTAACTTACTGGCCCTGAATCTCAAAATTTATCAATACTTGTTGCTTAGATTTTCATTTCCAAGTAATGAAGTAAGGAGGAGGACTGAAAAGTTTGTCATGGGGGAAGAATTACTTTATGAATAATTAAACAAGCTGGGGATTTAGCTCAGTGGCACTGTGCCTGCCTGGCAAGCGCAAGGTCCTGAGTTCAATCCCTGGCACCAAAAAAAAAACTAAACAAGTACTGAGAACTAAAAAGAGAAGATAAAACTATTGATAAAACCCTTCACTTCCTCCCCTAGCCACTGCCAGGCTCAAGTCCCAGTGAGAAAGTACCCATGGGACTGATCTATTCAGTGATTGCGTTTTTCCATGGCTTCTGGTGGATAAGAGATTAAGTATTGGTATCATCTCTATGAAAATGCTCAAATCACTACGAGATTTTTATCATCTTTGCTAACACCAAAAAAAAGACACTAATTTCTAACTAGTACCTTGTATTCTAAAAATAAGTCTCTAAAAACAAAGGTCTTGATGATTTCACACTAAGGAAGCAAATCTTATTATCACTATTTTACTACTAATAGCAACACATAATTCAAAGGGAAACATATTGATTTTGTGACTTTTCCAGAAACCATGTCCATAAAAGAAACTAATTCTGCTTAGATACCCTCAGTGGCATTCTCATTTGGCTCTCTACTGTAAGGGCCCCTGAAAGACCTGGGAATGGTCACTGAGGCTTCCTGTTTCCTCCCAGGGTGACCAATCTGTTATTCCGCGCTACTTCTCTCCAGAAACAGCCTGAATCTTCTAGAACACTCTTTGTCTTTCAAAGTCAAATTAGAAATATTCTAACATACCTCTTAACTGGACCCCTTTCTGTCTCCAAATAGTTCTGAGCTCATGAAATACTCTCTGACTTCAAAGTGTTCCACTAGGATCCTGAACAGGATCTTTGTCTCTCAGCTAATGGAGACTAATTCCATTGGTCTTTCATGCTGCTCCTTTCTACCCTGAGCTTCAGCGCTCTAAGGGCTTCGCCCTTTCAAAATATCGCTCTCCGCACACTGAATATGACTGTGTGGGCTTGGTAGCAGCCACATCAAGGCGTACTGGAAATGCCATCATGAATAATCTTCACCTGTGTTCTGAACACCTACCATTCACAATTGACTCAGACTGGAGTACTTTTGTTTAAAAAGAAAGTCTTGGGCTTATCCACAAATTATGTTCATTTATTTCCTTCGACCAGAGCTCAGAATTTGAGTATTCTACAGGTGATATGAAGGAACAGAAGAGCACTGACTTTCAGGGGATGGAGCCAGTGTCTTGGCTGTGGTTGTTTGCAGCACTGATTTCTGTCAGCAAGGACTTTCCCGACCCCCGGCTCATCTTTGTAGTGTGTTTCACACTGGGCGATGGGCCCCGCATAACCCCAAACTCAGTAGGGGACGGTGTCCCTGCTGACTCCCAGGCTTCCTTACTTCTCAGTGACGTGTCATCCATGCTTTAGTTGCTGTTTCGGGTCTAAATTCGAGTTTCTCTTTCTTCCAGAGTTTATGCAACACACCGCAGAGCCTCCTTAATATTTTTCTCTTAAATCACTTTTCTGATGGTCAGGAGGAAGTCCGTTTTAGAATCCAAAGCCCCGACCAAAGGAAAAGTAAAGTAGAAGTTGACTGGCACAAAAGCTAATGTTAACTTCATTGAGAAATGGCCATGATTCTTTTATTTTTTTCTTTTTCACCTAAATAATTTGTATTAGATTATCTGGCAATTAACAAATCTTAGACGCTAGCACTGTGAGAGAAAAAGAGCGTGATGAATTTACTCATGAGGCAGATGAATGCCACTGGAATCAAGAGTCCACGCTGCAGTCCAGATCCACTCCGAGGAGCCACTTTGGAGCCCCGAATCTGGCTGTAAACCACGTGTCTTGGGAATGTCACCCCGCAGTGCCTGTTCCTAATGTCTAAAACACCTCTGTTTTGTTTCAGCTGGCAGGGTTCGTCTACGCCTGCTATGTTGTGAAATGTATAACTGAAGAAGAAGACAGCTGTGAGTATCAAAGCGATGTCTGTTTCTTTCAAGTTCAAAGGTTCTTCCTTACTGCTTCCTGCCCAGCCTTCCTGTCCCCTCAGTGCACCGTTCGATCAAGAGGGGCCCATCAGCATGAGGTGCTTTTCATAAAAGATCAGCATATTGAAAAACGTACTTCTTTCTTTTCAGTAAAGGTATTTTAAAATCTATTCTTATAATAATTCTAGGAGCAATTAAAGAGGGGAGATTGGAGATGGGAGTGATTTTTAAGTGTGGTCAATGTGACTTTGTTCTTTTTCTAAACCACCTATTAAGTATTGATAATTAACCAATTTCATCTGGGACTGCAAATATCAATCATCAATAATGTGTAGTGCCCCTAAAATTCTCACAAGAATTAACTTTGATTTGGGGAATTTGCTGGTGGCAAATCGGATGTGCATGTGGCCTTTCTGTCCTTCAGTTTAACACAAGTGACTAGAGCCCTGTCAGTCTCAGCCGTGAGCCCCACTGCTGGATGCAGAGTCTAAACAGTGGCGGCCTCCCAAAAGCCTCATGGTGGCTCTGTTGTCCCCTCCTCATCCAAGCCTGGCATGTGGAAGATTTCACTTGCTCCTCCTCCTTAGGACTGGGAGAAAGATGCACCTATTCTCTCTGAGTAACACCATGCCCAATCACCCATACAATTACTTTTACTCAGAGAAAAAATCAGAATTAAAATGGGAATAATTTTCTGGGTTTCCAAACATATTCAGAATGATGGGGCTTTTGAGGAAGTAGAAGGGAAAGAAGATGGAAATACACTTCTCTCTCACATGACTTACACCAAAAGGATGAGAAGAAGAGGTAGAGTTAGAGGGCTAACTTGCACCAATTGTTCAGTAACTCTCATATATGAGATAAATACAACAAATATTTTATTTTATTTTGTGTGCAAAAGAAATAGTGCTTGATTCCCTAAATAAGCATTTGTAAGACATTCCTCCGTGTATCAAGCGCTGCATTGCTCTTAGGAGATTTTAAGATGAGCAACGCACGGTCTTTTGCCTCTAAGAACTTGCCTTCTATAAGGAAAGCAAATGTGAATGAGTAAGTACAATAAAAGCCTGTATGTTGAAGAAGAGGGGAAAGGGGTCAGGAAGGTTGTCACAGAAGCGTGTGAAGGTTTTCACACTCTTGGCCTGGATCTTGAAAGATAAACAGGTATGTGTTGAGCAGCTGAAGTGTGAATGGGAGGGTCTCAGGAGAAGGTGAAAAAGCACATAAGCATGTCACAGCGAGATCCGAGGCAGAGAATTACATCTTGTGCTAGAAGTGAACACACAGAGAGAACTGGAAAAAAGCAAGCCTGAATACAGTAACAGAAAATGGGTATGGAAAAATTTAAAAATGTTTTAGGGTACATATGCTTCGGTCAGTATTTGGTTTATAAAAAGAGAATCATTTGGGATGGACTTTAGGGAATTTGCAGTGATGTCAGTTTGAAGGAGAGACCACCAGGGAGGAGAAAGGCGAGGAAAGGCGGAGTGGTTCAGACTCCACTGAACTGACGGAAATGCAGTGCCGGGGTCTGGACTGGGTCCGTGCCGGCCAAGACCAAGAGGAACTGTGGTGTATTCAAACCGGATGTGCCTGGGAGCTGACGTGGGGGAAAAGCTCATGCTTTTCTGAGTCTGGCAGTTAGTAGACGTCTACCGCGAGGGAGTGGGCTGAAGAAAATGCCACTTAAGCAAAGTAGAGTGGACGTGCTGATTAGCTTGGGATGGACAGGCTGAGCTGAGGTGCCTGCAGAAGACATGAGAAAACATGTACTAAGGACTCATCTCATGCATGCGAGATGTATTCAGATTAGGAAGGGTAAAGGCTGTGCGGAGTTTCGAATGCATGGGTTGCACAAACTCTGATTCCACTTCGGTATGACACTCGGTGCCCGTGTGCCAGTCCGGTGGCTTAGCCACCACCTGTAGACACTGCCCAGACTCCGGCTTCCAACATTCTCCAGAAGGCTTCAAATTTCCAACTTGTGATAATTTCATTGTAAAGAAAATTATCTTGATCCTTAGAAACCGTGGTGAACGTGAAAAGGGAAGCCTGAGGTGTAGGACAGGCAGGGTCAGTCTCTGAACGCGTGTCCCGTTTCTCCTGCTGCGGATCTGCAATCCAGCACCCTGATCGGAGTGCAGCGGCAGGAGTAGGTGCTGGCTACCTGCTTGCCAAGTTATTTCAATTTCCATCCCTTTGTTGCCTCCGGAGGAGCAAATGACAGCTTTGTTCTGCAACCTGTGCTGACAGTGGACTGCAGAGGCCAGGGCCTAACTGCGAGCGAGGCCTGGCGGAGCAGGCAGCCTGGAAGCCGACCCAAAGCCAGGAAGCCTGAGAGAAAACGCGCCGACCCAGGGAGCACGGGGCAGACACCCTGGGCTCCGAGGGCGACAGTCAGCGCTGGACCGCGCACAGCAGCTGGACAGTCCAGTCCTTGTCTCGCTTTCTCCTTCGAACCTGTGTCCCGTTTACTTTCCTGGAGCCGATTGAATTAATATTCGTGCAAACACTGTTAGCCCGCGGGCTGCTGCAACACAGGCCCACAAGTCAGAGCACACTGTGAGCTCAGTTTGGCGCCTGGAGGCCGAGGGCAAGCTCGGCGCTGGCTCTGGCGAGGACCCTTCCCTTCCTGCCTCCGGTGGCACCTGCGGCCCGGACCTCGCCTGGGGAGCCCAGGCAGCGCTCGGCTGGCTCAGGGTGTTTTCCTGAGGCCGGGAGCCGAGCAGGTCCTGCCCTGCTGAGCAGATCCATCGCCTCCCAAGGCCTCTGGCCCGCGTCTTCAGCCACAGCAGAGCCGCTCGCTGGCTGTGACGCCGCTGCCACCTGCTGCCCGTCCGCCGAGGCAGGGGCCTCAGCTGAAACCGGGGTCCGAGCTGGAGCAGGGGCGGTTGTGTTCTCCCCCGAGCCCCTGCCCCGGCAGGCACACTCGCGTCTCCGGCCCACGGGCTCGGTCCTGCGGGCCCTCAAGGAGCCCGACCGTGGGGGATCGAGCACCACCCACCCAGCCGGTGAGCCTGCCTGACTCTTCCCAGGGCTTGTGCCAGAGTCGCAGAGCCGGGCTGCGGCTCAGTGTGAATTGGGGCGGCACAGCTCGGTCTACAGCACTCACACCTAAGCACACGCACACACGCAAGCGCCAGCACACACGCACCCACGCCTCGTGGGTCCTGGGCCTCTGAGGAAGCCGTGGGCCCAGAGCAGCGCTGCCCTCGGCTTCCGGACAGACTCACCGGTGCCTGCAGGAGCGGCTCAGCTGTGAAGCCGCCCGCCCGGCGCCTACCCTCATGCGGGCTCCTCTGCCGTCCGAGGAGCAGCGCCTCCCCAGGAAGAGGCCGGGCCCGCTCCAGAGGGGGCGCTCCGCCCTTGAACCCTCCTGCGCTGAGCGCAGCTTCTGCGGGTTTGCTCGGGGAAGGCAGCGCCGGCCTGGGGCTGGGGTCCCGGAGCCTCTCCCTGCCTTTGCGGCCAGCTCTTTGCTGTCGCGGGCCGCCTGAGGTGCCCTCACAGCCCCTGCCCCTTCCGTCCCCTCCGCCTGCTCCCTCTCACCGTGTTCTTAAAAGAAAAACTTTCCAGAGTTCGGGCGGAAAGTTTTCATCCCAGGCGCAGCTCCTCCGCGGCTTCTCCGCCCACGGCCGCCACCGCGCCACTGATTTATCTCCCTGCTGCCTTGCACGGTGAGCAATGAAAAGAAATACCCACGTGGTCGTGAAAATGCCGCTGGTCCCTGATAGAAAAAGAATCCAGCATCGTGTGAGGGCCTGGCCTTCACTGCTTTCTTAGGAAACGTCTCCTTACAGTTAGACTGATGGGGGCCGCGCTCTGGAAAACAGATCCATCTCTCCAAGCAGAGTCAGCCCTGCACATTCGTGGGTCTACACATGTGGATTCAACCAACCGCAGACTGGAGACATTTGGGGAAGAAATGCATCGGTATTGAATGCGTTTGGGCCGTCTGTTCTTGTCTTTATTCCTGAAACAGTGCTGGGACAACTACTCACAGAGCATTTGCACCGCCCTGGGAGCTACAAGTCGTCCAGAGGTCAAGTGCCCCGGAGGAGTGGGGAGGTCGCCCGCAGGTCCCACACAGGCTTCTACAAGGAACTTGCAGATCCACGAACTTCAGTTTCCACAGCAGCGTGCTGCTCGCGGCCCTCCGTGGACAGTGAAGGACATGGCGCTCGCTCTTCTGTAACAGACACTCAATGTATTTGCAAATATTGTTAAATATTGGAACCATCTGGGAAAGGATGTGGAATATCATTCTTACAATAATACCCTCAGGGGCCGGGGATTTAGCTCAGTGGTTTCGCCGCCTGCTGCACAAGCGCAAGGACCCGAGTTCGATTCCCCCCTACCAAAAAAAAAAAAAAAAAAAACCTCAGGAACTCATTTTGGAAGCAATATTGAAAAATTAGTTCTCGATGTTTAAACTTGGAGTTGGACACATGTCCACACCCACCAAGTGCAAATGGATTGAAACCTGTCTTCAGTTCCCTAAAAGTCAAGTGGCCTCCGGATAAAAGCCACAATTGATTTATTGAATCCTGCACTTTTCATTTAAAAAGAAACCCACAGAAAATTATTCACTTCTCTGAGGGTCATAATTTTCTGTTATTTTGTTTGATTTTTCCTCTGAACCGTGCTGGCCGCCGCGTCTGTGTATTGAACTCCATTCTGTCACTTTGATCCTCTGGGCAGCCAGTCAGGATCACCTGGGAGCTCAGTTCCGGTCTGTCCCCATGGAAAGGGGCACGTGGGGAGAATGAAGTGCACGCCTCCCTGTGTGGGCTTACTGCAGAAAGTGTAAAATATAAATTTCAAAAGAAAGAAGGAGAGAGAGAGAGAGAATCAAAACAACTCCATGGCTCCAAATCTTGCTTCATAACATTTTGGTATATTATACACCTCCTGGTTTTCCTCCTTCCCTTCCTTCCTTCCTTCCTTCCTATTAATCAGCTCGCTTTCTTCCCATCCTTAGC